AAAAAAAAAAAAAAAAGTAAAATGCAAACAAAAGAACGACAGACAGCCCTGCACTGGTGTTTCAGAATCGCCCGGAAGGCGCTGTCACCTGTCGGAATACATCGTATTATTTACACTCACCTTACTTCTTCATCTGTATTAAGGAGCATCTAGCAGTTTAAAAATAACGTTTAGATACAGGTGTGTCTTATTCCCCAAGAAGGCGCTTCACTTAAAAACAGAGGCTTCTCCGCAAACCCAGGGCAAGTTGCAGCGGCCAGGAAATCGGCCAGGTGGGGTCCTTCCACCCTGCAGCTCAGCGCCCGGCGGCCACAGGAACCCGGGCTCTGCCCTGAGCGCCTCACGCCAGCCTGAGGCGGGAGAAGGAGGAGGGCGTCCTGAGTTTGCCCTGTCAAGCAAAAACTAAGAAAAAAGCCAGGCTGACCCAGGAGAGGCCTGAGGGAGTGGAGATGAGGCTCGGCCACCCCAGGGCTGCCCGGTGCTGGGGGAGAAGAGGCTGACAAGAGGAGGAGAGTGGGGAGGGAGGAAGGGAGGGGCCAGGCTGAAGACTGGGCTGTCTCCCCAGAGACCCACTGACAAGCCTGCCCTGGGTGGGACCCTGTCCCCACCATCCCAGCCTGCGCCAGCACGGCCCCTGGGACCCAGGCACACACAAGCCCATGGCTGGCCATGCTCCCAGCAGCTGCGGGCCCGATTCAGGGAGGAATGAGCCCCTGTCGGCACCTCGTCCAGCTGTCCCCCAGCACCCCGGCCTGGCAGCTCCTGCCGCATCGGGGCCATTGTCCTTGGCATGCAGTTGCAGCTGTCTCTGGCACCCACAGGAACCCAGCGTGGGCCCGAAGCTAATCGTGCACCCTTCATTTACCCCAATTTTTCATGTCCTGAAGTCTGTGTATGGAAGGGGAGCCCAGGACCCATCGATGCTAACGTCTGTCGCCGCCTTCTGGAAGGGTGGTCGGTTTGGGCAGATCCTGCCGTGACTGTCCAGCGGCCAAACCCCCCAACGTGAGACTGGCAGGTGCGGGTGGGGGCTGAGAGAGCAGGTGTCGTACCATTTGCTGGTTGTCCTGGGACCATGACTCACAGACGGCTGTTCTGCTTGGCTCACCCTGTCCTCTCCCTGCATCCTCAGCTACAGGCCACGAGTGCTCCCACCCCTGCACCCCAGAAGGAGACGCGGCTCCATGTGACCCTGCAAGCTGGCAAGCCATGGTTTCCAGGCAGACCGGAAAGCACAGCACCCAATGTAGTGATGTTCTCTGGTTGCAGGACCCTGTGTGAGGAAACGAATGTGTATTATTTTTTTTTTTTTCCTCTAGGAATCATATTCTGCACTGGAAAAAGCCTTGGAAATTGCCTGGTCCAGAAGTCACAAACCAGAGCCCTGTGGGCTGAGCTCTACCCACAGTGCAGTTGTCAGTCAGTGTAGCGGTCACCAATGGCCACAGTAATGCTGCGTAACAAACAGCCTTGGAGCCCAGTGTTGTGTGTCACCCGGTGGTGCCACCCAAGCCCAGGCCACAAGAAAGGCAGGGCAAAGGCAGAGCTGGGCCTGTGCCTTCTGTCCTTTTTCTGAGCCTCTAGAGCAAAGCTTTGCTGAAGGCTCTCATCTGAACTGAGACCGCGGAGGAAACACATTCAGAAAAATAAATACTTGGGAGACAGCAGACATTTTTACAGGGTGTGTTTTAATTTGCCTTTGGCACTAATGGGTCTCTGGAACGTTCCATCCTGGCCGGGGAGGTCAGGACCTGAGCAACCAGAGCCCATTTCGAGAAAGCGGGTTTTCCTTTGTGGCATGCTTATTTCAAGCACCATTTTCCCTCCTGGTTATACTTGAAATGGGGCTCGGTGTTGGGAGATTTCAAACATGGACATTCCGGGCAAGGAGCCTCATGAAATCTGAAGGTTGAGTGTGGAAGGACAGACACAGGTCTTGGCAGCCTAAGTGGGCACAAAGGCTGATTTTTCTGGAGTCAGTCCTCTCCTGCTGATGGGCTGAGAGAGCCCCCCCGAGGCCCCGTGTCCCTTCTCAGAGGACCTCAGCCCCCCTGGTGCCTGGGCCTGGGATGGACTGGGGGCTGGGGCCCAGGGGAGCCAGGGCCTAGCATCCTACAGGGGCCCAAGGGCTGAAATGGGGCTGGGGTCCCTGGATCTAGGGGATGAGGGCCTAGAATGAGGCTGTGGTCTGGGGTTCAGTGGCGTAAGGACCAGGAATGGGGCTGCGATCTGTAGTCTGGGTGTCTGGTGTCAGATAGCACCCTCCTGTACAGGGCACAGAAACCCACATCTATACTGTAGGGTTAGGGACAGCATTTACTGCCACCAGTGAAAGTGTTGCCTCCACGTGACAGACACCGCCCCTAGGCTTGGCCTCCCTCGGCAGGAGATGACGCCCGAGGGGAGGTCCTTGGTACTCACCTCTCCCTGGCTGCTTGGAGCCCCAGGACGTTGCCTGGGGATGTTTTAGGGCTGGAGAAGGACCCTCTGCCCACTGTCAGATGAGAAGTGTGGAGAGCAAATGCGTGCTGTTGGCGCTCCCCCCACCCACCACTGAGAGGGGAGACGGATGGGCCCAGCCGGAAGCTTGGGGACCCGCTCCCAGCCTGGAGTGACAGACGCTGAGCAGCAGGAGTCACAGCTGTTCCCGACACATCCGTGATCTGAGCGTGCACCTGTCGCTGGGGAGAGGGCAGCGCTGGTCTCCATGCTTTGAGCTAAGCATCGCCCGCTCCCCGAATCCTTTCCACGTGAGAACAGCCCGGGCAGGGGTCCTCAGCAGTCAGTAGCTACCCCCGCCAGCACGGGTTCACAGATCAGGAGGCTCCCAGTGTGTCGGGGGGAGCGGAAGGTGGAGATGGGGAGGGCTGGGCTGGAGACGCTCATCCTCCGTGGAGGCCGGGGGCATCAGGAGGACCAGCAGGATGTCTGGGCTGCAGGCAGAAGTGAGCTGCAGCAGAGCCAGCTCTGGCCGCAGAGGGCCCAGAAAGCACTGCTCCTGCAGGGTGCCAAGAAAGGCTCACTGAGTGGTTTTCCACTGCCCTGTGAGCGCCGGGAAGCTTAAGGCACAGACAAGGCCAGTTCTCAGGCAGACGCCACCCCGGCCAACAGGCCAGCCTTGACCCAAACCGGAACTCGTGTCCCAGCTGGCACTGTCAGCACCTGAGACAGTGAAGCACAGGGAGCCGCAACCCAGCCCAGAGCTCCAAGTGTGCGCGGCCAGGAAGCTGACTCCCGAAGGGGGTCTTGAGAGGGGTCCTGCGAACCCCTCCTCTCCGCTGGAGACCCATCCGGGGGTGGGGCCTTTCCAGCCTCTGTTCACAGCCTGTGCCGGCCCAGCCTGTACTCACTGTAGTCTCGCCAGACCAGCCGTCATTAAAAGCACCAATTAATCTCCCAGGCTGTGCCAGGACGCTGCCAACTGCCCCACGGGTGCTCGGGATGCAGGGGCTGGGAGGCCCGGGCCAGGGCTGCGCACACACTGGCTGCCAGCGGGTTCACGCCCGCCCAGCCCTCCCTGTGCTTCTCACAGGCAGCACAAAAGACGGGCCGCCCGCCGTAGGAGGAGGGACGGGTGGGAGGTGGATGGAGGGGGACAGGGGAGGATGGGCAGGGAGGGACGGAGGGGGACAGGGAGGACAGGCAGGGAGGGATAGGGGCCTCTCCAGGGTGGCATTTTCCTGGGCAGCCCTGCTTCCTCCTCAGGCCCTGGGCCCAACACACACACCACACACACCACACACATACCCCACACCACACACATGTACCCTGCACACATACACCACACAAATCATACACATGCACACCACACACACACCACATGTATCGTACACATGCACACACACACCACACACCATACACACACACCCTGCACACATACACCACACACATCACATACACCAGACGCACCCCATACACAAATTATACATGTGCACACCACACACACCATACACACACACACACCATACACACACACCACACACCATACACACACACCACACACATCATACATACACACCACACACCATATACACACACCACACACCATATACACACACACATACCACATACCATACACACACACCCTGCACACACACACCACACACATCATACATACACACCACACAC